CTCCATTCTCCTCTCGGGATCTTGGACACGCACGCACACGCGCCCGGCGTGAGTTTAAGCCACCGGGTCCGGGACTCGAACCGTGGTCGACTACATGGGAGTCCTGTGACATAGCCATTACGCTAACTGCTGGTCCCAAAGCCAATACTTTCTTTCACCCCAAGTTCTAATTAAGAAAAAAAAAAGCATTCCCTGAGATTTAGAAATCTCAAAACTGCTCTCACATGAGTTTGGGGTTTGAGTTTCTTTCTTTTTTTTTTTTTTTTTGGGGGTGGTTTGTTTTTTTGTTTTTTGAAGAGGTTTTCGCTATAGGGCGTGTGCGCTCGCCAGACAGACAGAGAGAGACAGAGAGACAGACAGTGAGAAATGACCCCCCAGGGGGGACAGTCACGCCGCAATCCCTTCTCCTCCATTCTCCTCTCGGGATCTTGGGCATGCACGCACACGCGTCCGACGTAGTTTTAAGCCACCGGGTCCAGGATGCGAACCGTGGTCCACTACGTGGGAGTCCAGCGACATAGCCATTACACTAACTGTTGGTCCCATGGGGTTCAAATTTCTACTCTTGGGTCAACAAGTGGTGTGGTGAGTAAAGGTGCTGGATGGTCACATGGCTGACCATGGTTTGAGTCCCGGACCCAGTGGCTCGCTTTCTCACTTTCCCTTTCTCTCTCTCTCTGGTCAAATTAAAAGTAACAATAACAAATGGAATTAAATAATTAATTTTTAAAAAATTTCTACTCTTTGCAATGTCCAGTACCCCAGCCTAAAGAATTAACATAATAAATAGCCTTGGTCAACATGAACCTGGAAGAAAATCATCCTTGGAGGATGCTTCCTCAAGCCAGGCCATAGAAACCCTATCACCTCTGCACACACAATCCAAGATAAGACATAAGTGAAAACAACGCACCACAGTATGCAAACATACGGAAGACTTTGACCCCCAAAACGTCAAGCCATTTTCAACCACCATGTGGATTTGAAATATATTCGATAGAATTCATTACTGGCTGGCTCCA